CTCGGCTCATTTGACACCACTAGATAGGTTGGCAATGGTGGCGGTGACAATGAATTGTCACATCAATCATATATCAAAAAGACTGCTTAGGAAATTTCGTGTTGAGCTCCTTTCGTGACATCGCCTCCACTCATGGGTCGGCTCTTCCCATGAGGGTTAGTGTGGCTCGGTGGGATCGGCAAGCATATTGGTTCGACCATAGAAAGGGGTTCGGTTAGATTAGCCTCGTGTTAATATATTCCGAGGCTGCGTGGGGCCTTACCTTTGCTCGCCGCGTAAGATATTTGGGACATTGTGAATCAAGCCGTAACAATAGTCCTTGAAGTCTTTGTATTATTATTTATATAATGCGTGGACTTTTGAGTTGGTGATAAAAAAAAAAAAAAGCGGTGTAGCGTAACAATTGGTGTATAAATTATACTGTGTTAACTAAAAACTCGTGCATGGTTTATTTGCTATTGCAATGCTAATTAGCGGATAAAGTTTTGATTTACCGAAATCATTATACATGCATATGAACAAATCACGTAAAATTTTGATTACAAATCTTCTTAAGACAATTTGATCAAATGGACGATTGTCTCCCAAGACAGTTTTTCCTGAATTAATGTAGCACAATATTAATTTTATCGGACGAACTAAAGCTTGATTGTATTCCTTTGACAGGATAATATCGAATACTAAACTATGCAACACGAAATTGGAAATAATTTGAAAACAATGATGATATAGTTTAGAGTGAAGAAAAGGGAATGAAATTGCTCAATTTTTAGATTCAATGTATTTTCATCGAATAAGTGCACCTTTAAGCATAAATAAATATGGATTGTTAAATACACCTTTTCAGATTGGGATATGATCTCACGTTCTAGATCAAGGTTCATGACTTTTCATTATATACCTCTTTGAATGGTCGTACTCAATATGAAAAATTCTAACTCTTCAATATGCACCCTTTAGGATTTGAAAAGTCGTGACTAGTCATCGCACTAATAGAAAACTTTTTCAATTCACGCCTATTAAAATCATTAAATTATATCTATTAAAACTTAGAGTTTGTTTGAACCTCATGTTTTGGGAAAAATAAATTTTGTAATAATGATTTTTGGATAATATATAATAAAAAAATAGGGAATTTTTTTAGTTACGTATAAAATTATTTTATTGGAAGAATGTGTGGTTGAAAAAAAAAAAATTAATGAGTTTTTGAAAAAAGAGGATGAAACACAGGCTTAATGTCTCAACCCTCAATTAGTCTCTATTTATAGGTAAATATGCCACATAATTGAAAGTAAATTGAAGTTGAACAATCTGATTCACAAAAATTAAAGTATTGAAATTTCACTTGAATTTCAGTAAGTAAAAATGAAATTAACCCAAAAGGTACTAGTAAGAAATGTGTACTGGCCAAAGTAACAACTTTATGACAAATGATGAAATGAAAGTGGAGATACCATCAATTCAGCTCACAAAGGTTGGGGTATTAGTAACGAATGAAGCAAAGTTTTGGATCACTTTGTTCCTATAACAAGGTACAAATCAACACGAACCAATGCTAACTTCATTCATAAGGGCTACTGTTAACACTTGAGCATCTTGATCAGGAGAGAAGTCAGATCGAAAGCTCTGAATAATCTGAAGTGCATCACTTTTAGCTTCAACAACACTAAGGAAACAATCTCGACAAGGCCATGCCGGATGGCGATGGCCTCTGCAGATTCCGGTGAATAAATGGCCCCGCAACCTATAACTACGTTCAATGACCACCCGAAACCAATCCAACCATCCTCCGATTGGAAGCCAGCATCAATATAGCATTCTACGAGAACTGC